TTTGTGAGTATTTTGTGAGTATTTTGTAAGTATTTTGTGAGTGTTTTGTAAGTATTTTGTGAGTATTTTGTAAGTATTTTGTATTTTGTAAGTATTTTGTGAGTATTTTGTGAGTATTTTGTAAGTATTTTGTGAGTATTTTGTAAGTATTTTGTGAGTATTTTGTAAGTATGTTGTGAGTATTTTGTGAGTATTTTGTGAGTATTTCCTTGGTGTGTGACTGCTGGTGACTGTCTCACAGAGACTCAGTCCTGTCTCTTAAAAACTGATCCGAGACAAGTTTTGTCTCCAGCTGGTCTCAGTTCAGTTTCAGTAGTGGGTTCAGACCTGGACCTGTGGTCCAGGTCTGAACCCACTCGGATGGTTCCATAAGTCCATCTTTGTCAGAACCGGTTTTGCTCAAACCACTAAAGATGCTTTAAATAACGTGAGACCAGAACCTCAACCAGACCCGATCAGAACCAGAACCAGAACCAGAAGCCTGCTGGTCTCATGAAACAGCTGATGAACTGCACCAACGCACACACCGACACACACACACGCGCGCACACGCTTACGGGCACGGAGCTCCTGATGTTCCTCCATGGTTCCTCCTTGTTGTGGAGAACAGACACACCAGACCCCCCCCCCCCCCCACACCCACCCACACACACACCCCACCCGCCCGGAGGGTGGTTGTGGCCCCCCCCCCCGGCCCCCCTACCTGTTTTGTAGAAGGCATCAGTTTCGGGGTCGCTGGGCGCCTCCTCGGCCGCCTCTGCGGGGTTCATCCCAGAATCCGGTTCCGTTCGATCCTCGGGACAAAGGACGGCGGGCACGCGCTCCTTCGTGCTCACGTGTCCCCCAGGCCCTCCATCAGCCCCCCGGGCCGCTTTGTTCGGTCCGCTGCCTCGTTCTGGGCCGGATCCGGTCCTGTCTATTGTTCCTGGTCCAGGCTCCCTCCCTGCCGTCCGCCCGGGTCTGAGTCCCCCCTCCTCCCCTGAACCTCCCCTCCCCTCCCCTCTCCGAGCTCCGGTCCAACCACACTGTTCGTGGTGTGCACGTTCAGAACCACACAAACACTCGGCGTTCATTGGTGGACTGCATGTCGCCCGCCGCCTCTCAGAATGACATCATCTCACGGAGACATCCTCGCATGCAGAGGCTTGTGCACGACTCTCAGCTACTACCACCGTCTCTGGAAAACACTGTTCTGAGTCAGTTAGCTGTGGCAGCCATCTTGAAGCAGCTCTGAAATGGTTGAGGAGTTCTTGTCTCGGTTTTGTTCACAGTGAGGGAAGACAGCAGCGTGAGATTGACAGACTGCTGCAGCGTCTGCAGTATTGTGGACTCTGTGCTGGTCCGTTGTGGTGAAGAGGGAGCTGAACTGTAGGACAAAGCTCTGTTTACTGGTCTTTATGTTCCGACCCTCACCTGTGGTCATGAACTCTGATAAGGATGCTCCCTGATGCCTCTCTATGGACGTGTTCTGGACATGTCAATCTGGGAGACATGTCCCCAGTGAAAACAGGACACTCCTGACAGACTCCGTCTCTCAGCTGCATTGGAAACACCTTGGAGTCCTCCAGAAGAGCTGAAAGTGGATGCTGTGGAGAGAGATGTCTGGACCTCCCTGCTCAAGATGCTGCCCCCAAGACCTGAGTCCAGAACAAGAAGATGGATGGATGATTGGTAAATGATGGATGGTATGATAGATGATGGGTGGATGGATGAAACAGATCAGCAGCAACATGAAACAGATCAGCAGCAACATGAAACAGATCAGCAGCAACATGACGTGATTTTTCACAGTGATTATTCTAGTTAGAGATTCATGAGTCTAACAGGCTCAGGGTAGAAGCTGTTCCTCAGTCTAGTGGTTCTACACTTAATGCTCCTCAACCTCCTTCCTGAGGGGAGTGGGGCAAAAAGTGTGTGTGCTGGGTGAGTGTGGTCCTTCATGATGCAGGTGGCCCTCTTCCTGCATCTGGAGGTGTAGATGTCTGTGATGGTGGGGAGACCGACTCCAACATCTTCTGTGCAGCCTTCACCACTCTCTGCAAAGCTTTTCTTTGTTGAGGTTCTCCTTAGGAGAGACAAGGATGGAGAAGATCAGAAATGAGATCATCAGAGGTACAGCACAGGTTGAACAACTGGGGGATAAAGTTGAAGAGGACACACTGAGATGGTTTGGACATGTCCAGAGGAGTGACAGTGGTTTGGACATGTCCAGAGGAGGGACAGTGGTTTGGACATGTTCAGAGGAGGGACAGTGGTTTGGACATGTTCAGAGGAGGGACAGTGGGTATATTGGTAGAAGGATGTTAGAAATGCAGCTGCAGGAAAAAGACAAAGAGGAGACATATGATGCAGTTAGAGAGGACATGGAGGTGGTTGGAGTGAGGACAGAGGACACAGAGGACAGAGTGAGGACAGAGTGAGATTGAGGAGGAGGACTTGCTGTAGAAACATCAGAAGAGGGAACAGCTGAAAGAAGACTAAGGAAACTAAGGAACAAGGCCTTGTTTTATAACGTATCCCTGCTGAATGGACCTCCCTCCTCAGTCCTGGTCTTCATTACGACCTGAGATAGTCAAAAACACAAAACCTTCAACTCTTATCCTGATGCATGCTCAATAATCCAGGTAGAAAAATCCAAAAAAGTTCAATCTGGTCCTCTGGACATTCAAAAAAACAAAACAAAGCAAAAAAATGTAGAAACGTTTTGTCTCTCATCCTGAGGACTTCCTCAGTCTGAGGAGCTGTATTCAGCTCAGTCTCTTAAATAGCACCTTCTCAGAGTGGATCAACCAGTTTGCTGCTGACAACCAGAACCAGCTGATCACATGCTCAAGAAGGACCATCAGCCTAACAATGGATCATTAGCACCTGATGGCTGTTTACTGTTCACAGAGGGCTGAGTGATACTAGCAATCACAGCATTGTAAGAGGGGGACAGTTGAACCTGGAGGCTCCACCCCTGTTTAATGATGGACGGTTTCTTTTCACAAAGATGGCCTCCTTTACTCCTCTCTCAAACCATCGTTCCTCTCTGTCCAGGATGTGAACATCTTCATCCCTGAAAGAGTGACCGCTGGCCTGGAGATGAGTGTAGACCTCAGAGTCCTGGCCTGATGATGTTGATCTTCTGTGCTGGTCCATCCTTTTGAACAGTAAACAGCCATCAGGTGCTAATGATCCATTGTTAGGCTGATGGTCCTTCTTGAGCATGTGATCAGCTGGTTCTGGTTGTCAGCATCAAAACTGGTTGATCCACTCTGAGAAGGTGCTATTTAAGAGACTGAGCTGAATACAGCTCCTCAGACTGAGGAAGTCCTTTGGATGAGAGACGAAACATTTCTATATTTTTTTTGCTTTGTTTTGTTTTTTGTTTTTTTTGAATGTCCAGAGGACCAGATTGAACTTTTTTTTAATTTTTCTACCTGGATTATTGAGCAGCATCAGGATACATGGACTTTGTTGTTAATTCCTTGACATTTGGGGCCCTCTGCTGGTCACAGACAGAGAAGGAACTTGTTTAAAACTGGTCAACTCATTAGAGGTGAGCAGAATGAACCTGCTCCTGACTCCAGGGAGAACCAGGTTTAAAGTTCACACATGAAGTGTGAGTGATGGTAAAGTCATAAACTGCTGATCAGGCAGCAGGGCTGTTTCCCACACACCGACAGGTCTGTGGTTAAAAACTTACAGGACACAGGAGATTCTTTATTGTTGTTCACATCTCATGTGGTACATGTGGTGGAGCGAAATTATGTACACAGGGTCCCAGTTACATCCAACAATAAAATGTATAAGAAAAACAGTAATAACATCTAAGATATGAACTAAGAAAAACATCAACTAAATATACACTAAGCACTCATAACATAAAACATTATGCCGATCAGCAGCACGAACATGAGTCTGTGTGAGCAGATGAGCATGCATGAACACATCAGCAGCAACATGAAACGGATCAGCAGCAACATGAAACGGATCAGCAGCAACATGAAACGGATCAGGAGCAACATGAAATGGATCAGCAGCAACATGAAACGGATCAGCAGCAACATGAAACAGATCAGCAGCAACATGAAAAGGATCAGCAGCAACATGAAACGGATCAGGAGCAACATGAAACGGATCAGGAGCAACATGAAACAGATCAGCAGCAACATGAAACGGATCAGCAGCAACATGAAAAGTATCAGCAGCAACATGAAACGGATCAGCAGCAACATGAAACAGATCAGCAGCAACATGAAACGGATCAGCAGCAACATGAAACGGATCAGCAGCAACATGAAACGGATCAGCAGCAACATGAAAAGTATCAGCAGCAACATGAAACGGATCAGCAGCAACATGAAACGGATAAGCAGCAACATGAAACGGATCAGCAGCAACATGAAACGGATAAGCAGCAACATGATATGACGTGTTTCATGTTGAGTAAGGGAACATTTGAGGGGACCTGTGGGAATTCATGCAGTTTGGTTTTTATTTAGATCTCTGCTCACGTTACGTCTTTCTGATTTCAAAGACTCTACGACCCACAATCTTTTTGAAAGCTTTGAAGCAGATGCTCGGTCATGGGTGTGACGGGGAGCTACGGACATCTTTGGTCATGTGGTTCTGGTTGAGCGACTCAAACTTGGGCAAGAAGCTTCTCTGACAATCAGTTCCTTTTTGAACACAGGCCTCAGGTTGTTTGATGAACCACCTGCTGTTTCCATCTTAACCTGTCGACCACTCTCCAACTGCTCTGCAGTCTTCTTAAAAAGTTAAGTCAGGTCCTCTGGACCGGTTCTCTGCTGTCATTTCTGCCGGACAAGACAAGCATCCTTACCGGACTGACGGGGGCTTCAGCGCTCCCTGGATCTATAGCCAGATGTTTAGCCCAGGTGTCAGTTGTACAAGCTGAAAGGACAAAGCTTTTGTTTTAGTGCACACAGAATTTTCTCAAGTGGTTTTAATGTTGAATGTTCTGAGACATTCTACGGTCCAGTGATGGACGGTGACTCAGCCGGTCTGGTGGTAGCTGAGGAGGTTAGTCGTCTGATACTCTGACACGAGAACTGCAGGAAGTCACTCGGTTTCACCACTGCACTAGGGCTGGAAGCCAGATGTTAGACTCAGATGCTCCCAGGACATTGCAGGCGGCCTTCCAGACCTGGGAGGTAAACTGAGGTCACACGACAGAGGAGATTCCATGAAGACAGAACCAGAACCTGTACCAGTAGAGGAGTGGACATGTACTGCTTTGGAAAACCTGTCATTAGTCAATACTGCGGTGTTCCCTTCAAACTGAGGCAGGCTAGGGATGAAATGTAGAGAAACGTGGGACCACAGACAACCAGGACAGGTAATGGTTGAAGAAGATCAGAAGTTACACAGACTGAAACAAACTCGTATGTCATGGCTTGAAGTGGACCACAAGACATATGTGTAGTCTGTGGTACAGTAGATACAACGATGATGGTCATGGGTCTGCTCAGGAATCCTGGCATAATGTCCACCAGCAATCACTGGGTTCAGTTCCTGAATCAGGAAGTCCTCAGAGGGTGTGCCTGACGTCCTTCCTCTTCACCCGTCCACTAATCCTTGGTGCTGTACATTAAATCTGTGGAAGAGAATATTCTTCTGCAAAAACAAGGAAAACAAACCATGAACCCACTGAAACACCTGGTCTCTGGTCCTTCAAAGCCATCATCATCTGGTCTCCTCTGGTCCCCCAAAATGTCCAACAGCTGTTCTCATCAGGTCCTGCATGTTTACAGACAGAGAAGATGCCTCTCAGAGGAAGAGTGGACCTGGAACAGCTTTAAGCAGACGTGCTGCTGATCAGTGGTCCAAGTCCAACACACAGGTGGGGCTGCGGTGGCTCAGTGGCGCAGTC